AGCCATGCTCTTACCAGCCTAACACCCTCACCCAGAACCAGGGGGATAAAAAGCATGGACTATCGCAAGTTTGGCGAAATACTTTTAGGACATGTCAGCTAGCCACCTTTAAATTCCACACAAAGGAAAACAGACCTTGCTCTCAAAGCTGTTTTCACTTCCATTTTATGATATATATATATATTTTTTTCTGAACTGAGTAAGTATCTTGCACTAGAGTTAAAAGTATCCTTGGATGAGACATTTCTTGGTGCTACTGGGTAGCAGTTGATGATGAAGAGGATGAGGTCAGAGATGATAAACGCTTGGCTCCTCAGCTTACCCTGTGTCACTTCACATAAACGGACCTGTTTCACTCTTCTGTCAGCTCTAAGAAGACAAGGTAATGGACACCCCTATTGTAGAGCCAAGAACCCTGAGGCACAGGGAAGGAAAGACGATACTGTACAACCACGCAGGGTTGCTCAGATTCATCCCAAACCCAGGCTTTCAGACAGTGTATGATCTTGTGATTGTGGCAAAGATAAAGTTCTCAGGCCCCCTCATTCTCTTGAGATCACTGGATTTGGGGAGAAGACTTGACAAGCCATTGGAGATCAAGCGAATGGCACTGGGAGGGAAGAAGGCACTTCCACTGGAAAGAGTGGGTTACAAAGTTATTTTCAAGAGCCTAACCATACCATCAAGTACAAAGCGCAAATCTGCAGCTGGCAGTGACTAGAGAGGGCCTTGGACGGTTGAGGCCATGGCTAGAGCCACGAAGACTCGTCAAATGACTTTCTTTGAAGATGACTATGCCCTAGCTATCCACTGTGATAACAACTCCCAGGACCGTTAACGTTCTGTGTGTAATGCAAGAAAGTCTGCCATCTCCCAAACCTGACTCTCCCACCCCATAATTTATGTACGAAACAAAACCCTGTGCCCAGAGATGAAAGAAACCTGCCCACTGGCTTTCTTCCTGGACTTTCTGGATCTGCCAAATAGAGTGCTCATGCCTCAACATTTCGTCCTCGAGGAAGATGAAGGCAGCGGCATTAGAGAAGCACTAGGGAGCCTCTGTATTATAGAGTCTACAATAATGTGTGCACTGACCCACACTGCATGGTAGAAAGCTCCCCGACAACTGAGGAAGGGTCCATCCTTGAATGTTTCCTTCTCTGAGCTAGCCCTTATTACTCAAAAGCAGACATCCTGACTATAAAAGAGGCCTCTGCTTCAGGCTGGCTATAGTAGACAGCAAATGCTAGGTGAAGGCCATGCTTTTCAAAGTCTTTAGTGCGTTATTCCACCTGCTTCAAGAGCCTTAAAGCAAGTGATACAGCCCTGGACAGCTCCTCTTCCTCTTCCAGTCCCTGAGGTTGGATGGGAAAGAAAGAGCAGAGAGTGAGCTCAGACTCCAAGGTCAACTCTCCGGCCTGTGGAACAACTCCAAGCCAGTCTCAGGAGAATGTCCCCTAACTGCTGCCCACACCTCCCCTTTCTTTCCATTACCTTCCCATTAATAGATGAGGGAGGGCTATGGTGGTGTGTTTTAAAAGGGTCAAGTCGGTGTGGTGGCATGGGGCTACAATCCCAGCACTCCTGAGGAGGAGGAGGCGGATCTCCTGTTTGAGGCTGGCAGAAGCGGTCTCTGAAAGGAAGGAATGAAAAGGAGGGGAAGGAAAGGAGGAAACTAGAAGGAGAAAAGAGGGGCAGTTGGGAGAAAAGCAAAAGAAATAAGGAAGGGAAGAGAAGGGGAGCACAGATGAGGGAGAGGGAGAGGGGAAAGCAGGGAGAAGAGAGAGGAAAGGGGAGGGAGGAGATGAGACACACCAGGGAAGATGCTCTGCTTTCTGAAGCAGCCTTCTAAACACTTTAGAACAAAATAGCACTTTCCTGAGGGAAAGGGGGGAGACACACTGAAGAGCAGGCTTTAAGGGGGGCAGAGGTGGTCCAGAGAAGGGGCGAGGAGAATGGCCTGCACATCTGTCTGTGTGTGTGGTAAAGGGGGAGGGAGTGTTGAAAGCAGAGAAAGCTGTTCAAATTAGCCTAAAATGGAGTTTATAGATGAAATCAACAGCTACCTCTGTTGTTGCTACACCATCCCATTGTGGAGGATTAACAAAGGAGCCACTGTCTCTTTAAGCTATTCAGTGCTAGGAGTTCCCAAGTGGAATCCCTCTCTCTCTCTCTCTCTCTCTCTCTCTCTCTCTCTCTCTCTCTCTCTCTCTCGTGTGTGTGTGTGTGTGTGTGTGTGTGTGTGTGTGTGTGTGTGTGTTCCTAGTCCCCTGCACCACCTTAAAGGGGAGGACCACCTCCCCAAGTTAGTGCTGGCTTCATACCACCTCATCTCTTGACCCTAGACTGCAGAGGATTTTAGTGCTATAGGACACAAGTCCAAGAAGAGCAGGGCCTCCAGAACAAACCGCCTGCACTTTTCAGTCCTCTCTCTTCCCGCTGTCCTCAAGCAGGGAAAAGAAAAGTGGATTAAAATGTTCACAAGCTTGGAAACGTCCAGTAGCCCCCACTCCCAGCTTCTGGAAGGAAGGCCGATGGGCTTGACTTCAGAATCCTGAGTGTGTACCAAAGGGAAAATTAATCACTACATAGTAAAATCGAGCTTGCACGAAAGAGAATTGAGCAAAACCAGTGAATCTGGGAGCATGGCTTTTCCCTTCCCCTTCAGGTCCTCATCCTTCAGGTCTCTGCACTAACTTCCTTTTTAGGGAAAGAAACACAACAAAAATCAAAACACTGTCCTCTCCCTTTCAAGTACACTACACACATCTCCTTTTTATTTATTTATTTTTCATTTATAAAAGCAGTGGTCTGTCAAGTCGCTTGTGACCTTTTTTCTTTTTTGGCTTTCAGTCATAAACCTCTTGTTGTAAAGGTTGGTTGGCAGCCTTCATCAGATGTTTATGGTGTTAAGGCTGTAAAAATTTTAAGCCAAGATGAAAACAAAACAAAAACAAAAAAACCCCAAACAATTCTTCCCAAGTTGCTTTGCAGGAGCGCTCCTCCTTGGCTTCCCCACTACACAAATGCTGAGAAAGAACTGATGGTTTTGCATACACTTATAAAGAAACCAAACCAACCAAGACAAAGGGAAGTAGAAGAGGCGCCCTCCTACCCACTTCAACCTTCGTCCCAGCTGTGTGGGGCCACTGGTAACTGGTGGCCAGCTGGAGTTTGGGATGGAAGTAAATTAACTGGAAACCTCCAGTCACTGCTGCAGTCAACTGGAAAAAAAGAGTGGATGCCAGTGTGGCGTGGCCCCAGATCCTAGAGCTGCCTGCTCAGCTCCCTGCAGAATCTCCTGCCACCCCGTCCAGCTTGGAGGGAGGGGCGCGATGGAGGCCACAGCCCACCTCCGCGTGCTCGCATCTTAAGCCCCTCCCCCTCCAGCACCGAGAGAATGCTTTCTAAAGGGTCTGTGACAGGTCCCTCTCCACACGTCCAACCTGAAATAAACACTGTCAGCCTTCGGGTGATTCACTTCCTGGGAAACACATTCAGTCTGACTCAAAAGTTTTCTGTTACTCCAATCACTACGTCATCTCTCCCGCCGTTATCGTTATTATCACTATTAAGAAAGAATGTTTTTAATTGTCGTGTGATCCTCCCCCCCCCCCCCTTTTATTCCCTGGCTTTTTCAAAGGGCAGCAGAGAGGTTAAAAGCTGACTTGAGTAAAGTGGAAAAGGGATTTTTTTTATTTGTTGCAATAAAGTGCAATTGTGAGATAGCAAGCTTGTTCCCTTTCTCGAAAACAGTGAAGAAGGTCAGGGAAGAGGGGAGAAGGAAAGAAGAGAGGGAAACTGACAAATAAGGAGGGAAAATTGATAGGCAGGATGAAGAGAAAAAATGCTGAAAAGAGAAAGGAGATGGAAGGGGAGGGAGAAAGGATGAAGAAGCAAGAGAAGAAAGAAATACCGAAAAGAGGATGGAGGGGGCCGTTCTTGCTTGTTCTTGGTTAGGATTAAGCTCTGTCACTCCAGCAGAATAAAGCAATCTGGCTTTATTTGCAGTCTCTATAAGTCTCAGTCTTGCTAAGAATAGAGAAAGCAAAATGGATTTGAAGCTTCAAGAGAACTTTGCAAACTGGAGACAATAAACGGGGTGATTTCCTTCCCTCGTTTCCAATGAACCATGCCATCAGCAATATACACCCCAAGAATTCCTGTTAGCCGTTCGAACTTCTGAAGGAAAGAAAAAAGTTTGCAAACTCTGCATTCTGTAGGCAACCAAACAGTTCCCCTACTTGCTTTCTCTGCTCAGAAGAATGCGGATTCCACGGATCTGTCTCTTTGAGCTCCAGCTCATTAACCTGAACCTAGAAGAAGAAAATGTATCTCCCAGGACCAAGAAATGTATCTCCCAGAACCAAGAAGAAGAAAATGTATCTCCCAGGACCTGTAACTGAGTGTCTGAAAACAAAACAAAAACCGATTACACCTCCAATCCACCCCAACTCCCCCCTCCCCACCAAAAAAAAAAAAAAAAAAAAAAAAAAAAACCCTAAGAAGTGACTGCCTTCTCCCAGAGCTCGCTTTCTCCCCGGAGAAGCTCCACTTGTCTGTAATACGAAAGCTGCCAAGACACTTAAAAGAAGCTTTCTTTCCATTCATTGTTGTGCCTGGCAAACCCAAGGCTCCTGACTTTTCTGCAGTCTGCTAGGTGACTGTAGAAAGAAAAAGAAATCAAATGTGGAGGGGCTGCTCCCATCTCCCTCCTCCCCTAAGCTAATAGAAGCAGGGGTTGGCCCAGGCACCGCCTCGGGTACCAGGTGATGAGGTCTTCCTAGATTCCCCAGGGGCTTCCTGGCAAAGGGGGAGGGGGTTTCAGAAAAAAACTAGCAGAGATCGGAAGCTCTAGGACGGTCCCAGTAAGCACTGAGAATGTGTTTCCACAGCCTTCCACGCCAGGGGTTTGGGGTGTGATTTCTCCCGATAGATGATGGAGATGAGGAGGAGGAGGAGACAGCTATTTCACCCAGGAAGCCCATAACGCTTTTTTGTGCTCTTGACTTTTATTTGAGATCTCCGCTGAGACCGGGTGACCTGCACCCGTTCCCACAAGGCAACAGACGTCTTCAAACTATTTTTTGTTGCTGTTTTTAATTCGATTTATCCTTTGAAACAGAAAGTGCATTACATTTCATGGGTCTCGTCGCAAAGGGGCTGCCTTTTCTTTACAAACCGAATTCCTCGTATAAATTAATAAATGTTAAGGAGGCTAATATATCATCGTTATTAGCTTTAACAGAAAACAATTTACATATTCTATAGTATTCTTATGATACAAAACACCTCGAATTCAATTACAGCAACTAAAGGAAATGTTTATGTTCTGACCCGGAGCGCTTGTAACAATTCCCACCATCTACTTTTAACACGCATATTTTTTTTTTTAATCAGAAAAGAGTTAAATTAAATACAAGACATCGTAGCCCCTCCCTCCCCGGTATTTTCTTTAAATCACTAATAAATAGCAACAAACGACTGTGCAATTTCGGAGGGGACCCCAGAGGCCGGTGTGAGACGCTCGCGGGGTCCGGGACCTCGGGCTTCAGGTCCTGGGGCGGCGCGGGGCGGGTGGGGTGGCGGCCTGGCAAGGTCTGCTGGCCCAGGCGGGGACCGGGCGGAGGAGAAAAGCGCGGAGGACAGGTCCGGAGCCGGCGGAGGGCGGCCGAGGAGGGCGCCGGCGTTCTCGACGGTTCCGGGTTAGCGGCGAGGAGCGGCCGCGTCGTGGGAATGCGTCTCAGGCCAATGGGAGGGAAGGTCCATCTCTCGATACCGAATTCCAAAAGGCATTTTACACTTTAAATATTCACAATGCGGCAACTCCTGGTCGCTGTGGCTCGCGGTTTATTTACAGGGAGCCTTCAACAGGTTACTGTCGAGCAGTTGGGGGGGCGGGGGTCCCCCTTTTTGTCCCTAGGAGGCGGACGCCCGCCGCGGCTCGCTCCGAGAGTCCCGCCGGGCGGTGGCTGCCGAGCTGGCAGAGGCCTCGCCCGGAGCCCGGAGCCCGGAGCCCGGGGCCCGCGGAGCCCGAGGCCGAGCCGGGCTGAGGGGGCCCGGCCGCCGCGGATGGGTTCTGGGAAGCCGCGGGCGTGTTCGGCGGCGAGTCTGTCTGTCTGTCTGTCTGTTTCTGTTTGTCCTCAGTACGCCGTCCTGCCCGCCCCCACGCCACCCCCCGCCACAATTTCTAGCTTAAAAAAATAGATATGTACATCTTAGAAAACAGGGGAGGCCCGGCGAGCGGCGGGGGCCGGGGCGGGGGCCGGGGTCCCCGCGGGGCGCGGCGCGCTCACGACGAGCCCTCGGCCTCCGCCGCGTGCAGCAGGAGGCCGCCGCCGCCGCCGCTCGACTTGTGCTTTTTCAGCAGCTGGGTGATCTTCTCGTCGTCGGAGTTGGGGTCCAGCGGCTTGTTGTAGTCGTCGTCCTCCTCCTCGTTCTCCGAGGCCCCCTTGAGCCGCTCGGTCTCCGAGTCCTGCTTCTTCTTGGCCGTGGCCATCTCGGCCGCGTGCTTCTTCCTCCATTTGGTCCGGCGGTTCTGGAACCAGACCTGAGGGCGGAGGGGGGGGCGGGGGGGAGGGAGAGGCAGGGCCGGGGAGGGGGAACTGAGCGCCGGGACACCCGGGTTCCCACCTCGACACCCTCCCCCGCGGGCCCCCCGGGGCTCGGCGTCAAAGTCTGTCCGGTGGCCTCCCTAACCCGGCGCCGTTGCCATAGCGATGGCGACACGGGAGCAGGCAGGCCACCAGCCAACCGCTTCTCGGGGAGAGTGAAAAACAAGACCTGGAACCAGCTTTCCTGGAGATAAACTTGCTTTTCCTACGTCCCAACCGGAAACCGAGAACGGTTAGTTTCCCCTTAACGGTGGGTTTTAGTACTTAATCGTGTTCTGAGGAGTTGTAAGCAGCAACCGCGGTGCCCAGTGATGGGAACGGAAGAGAAAACCTTAAACCCAGTTATCACTGCTCTGTTTCTCGCTTTTGGACACTTGACCGGTTACTTTTTCTAGGCCTGAATCTGCCACTACGTTCGCTGGTAAATTCCTCGCTCCTCTCCACAACACTTAAGGCGCGTGGTCTGAAGTTTTCTGAAATAATGAGAACTTCAGTTTACTCAGAGCCTGAGAGCATTTAACAGCTCAGTCAGGACTGTCACCACGGTGGGGCTGACGCTCTGAACTTCTTTCTCGGTTAAAACCAAAGGTGAAATGGCGTTCGCTGTTTTTAAAGCAAAAGGTTGCCAGGTACATTGTTTTATAATTATGATTTAGCCCGTTCTTTCCAATATTAGCATAACATTGCTCCGCCCTAAGACATTCATTTGAAATAGTTCGAGCTGTTCATGGTGCTTGATTGGGTCTGACACGTGTATTTGAATCTGAAGGACAGCAGTAAGCAAGTTCTAAAGATGTAAAATCACCCTCTTCCTATGTTTCTCATCTGTTCTGTATTTTATCCAGAGAATCTGAATTGTTAAGAAAGTGATTTTCTTTATATTGCTGTAATAATTCACTTCCGGCCACAGGGACATATTTATGGTGACCAATGAAGACCTCCGGATTAAGGTGTAGGCTCCTGAGCCACCCACGCAAAATTATTTCGAATGTGATGGTTTTCTAATGGCCACGGGAAGAATCTCTGCGGAAATATATGTGTGACTTTTGGCTAGCGGGAAAGGAAAGCCTTAGCGTAAGATTGCATTAATGTAACTAAAGAAAGCAGACCCCACAGACATACCCACTGCCTAAAGAAATGTAACAACCCTGAAAGGCACCGAGGAGAACAGCGAAAACCAGGAAGCCATCTGATTGAATTTACCCAGCTGGCTCAATCCCTTTATTTTCAGGGACAGACTTCTAAAATTTAATTCCCTAGAAATGTAGTATACAACTCAATTATGAGCAACGAGACATCTTAATTACAAGTTGTCATAAAGTGCAGGATCTTAATTCTGCGGATAAACTTGCTTTAAGCAGATTTCAATCTTATAATACGTTAACAATCTTGCCAGCTCATTTGGGAAATTACTATTCCAAAATGAATATCTTTATCTAGGGCAAAAGCAAGTTTTATCAGCGTTAAGTTCCTCTGGATTCATTTACTTTTTCTAAATCTACAAATTAATATAGAAGTGAGTGTGCCTCCGATCCGCACTAGGAAATGTTATAACCAGTGGGGCCTGCGTGGGCAAACAAAAGCTTGAGTGTCTTTACAAATAAAACGAACCCAGCTTTGTAATCGGCTCCATTTCGCCGGGATATTCCCTTAAACGCTTTTATTCTCTGATAAAGGCAGGTCCCCAGCACTGGCTGCTGTCTAGATTAGCCTAGTCTCTAAGGCGGGGATTCCATTTCTTTTGTTCATCAATAGTTTGACTCCAAAAGCGCCCCCCACCCCAGGGCCTGTGCAATCCCTAACCCTCTCCCGGCTTCTCCCCAGGCTCCTGCGCACCCCCACCTCTTCTTTGGAAAGGGGAAAACAGAAGCGCAGGCTCGCGCGCGTGGACACGACACACGGGCGCGCAAGTCCGGGAAAGCCATCCCTGGAGGTGTCAAAGGTCCACTCACCTTGACCTGACTCTCCGTCATCCCCAAAGAATAGGCCAAGCGCGCTCTCTCGGGTCCCGCCAAGTACTTGGTTTGCTCGAAAGTCTTCTCCAGGGCGAAGATCTGCTGGCCGGAGAAGGTCGGTCTGGTGTGTTTTCTCTTCCCATCTTTGTCCAACAAAATGGATCCTTGATCTGCGAGGACCGACAACAAGGGGAAGGAAGAGACAATCCGTTACAGCGCTCAGCGGGGGCCGGGGGCGGTGAGGGGGTGGGGATGGGAGCGGGGAGCGAATGGGCCAAGCTCAGCTTCGGTGTCCAGAGAGCATGGCTCCAAGGCCTGCGCCAGAGGAGCGCCCGCGCTTCCCCCAGCCAGCGACTCTGGTCAAAGCCGGGTGCGGTCCGGCAGCAACATACTTTGTGCTTAAACCACAGGGCCAGCAGCTAGGGGGGCCCCCCCGCTGCTGAAGAGTACAGCAGAAACGGGACCTCCTCTTCAACTGAGCAGGAGTGCATGGGAGAGGTCACCTCGCTCACCTCCGGGGTCAGTCCCCGTGCCAGTGGGAGAGTTTGGTGGGCAGGGAAGCACATTTTAATTTTTTTTATATTTTGTTTTGTTTTCCTCAGCCACTTCCTTGACTAGGTGTGTTGGGCAGCGAGAGGGCTCCCTGCGTTCTGCACACTTTGAGAGCCAACTTGCCCCTGGTCTCAGGCCGCTACAGGCTGGAGGAAGAAGGGAGGGACTTTGGCCGTCCCTACAAGCCACACTGAAATGGAAGTTTCTCCTCAACACCTCCACAGCCCCGGGAGCCGCTTCTCAGGCGCTCGCCCTGGCTTCCCTCAGTGACTGCGGCTAAGCCTCGGGCAGGGAGGCCCAGCAACTCAGACGAACTTCACAGAATGAGAAAAGGAGCTGAGCTGGGCCCTGGAAGCCCTCTGGGGGCTAAGGGCCTTCTGGGAGCTCTGGCTCCCTAACCACAAGACCGTCCAGCCCTGGGGACAACTGAGGCAAAGTCTCTGCACTTTGCTGGTCTGCGTCCCGTCCCACGTCAGTCATCTCTCTCTCCTTTCCTGGGTTAGGTCGTTGAGTGCCAAAATACCTCTTCAATGCCCCCAGGTGCAACAGTCCTGGGGAAGGGAGAGCCCAGGTCCATCCCAGAAAACAGCCCGGAGCACGTCACCAGCTCTGGGGAGTCTGGAGTCTGGCACGGCTTGTTGGCTGCGGACAAGTGTACTGGGGGTGGGCTGAAGATGTCAGGGGGGGCGATGCTAGCTCGCGCCTGCTTTTCCTGGGGCGGTGGGTAGCTGCCCTGCCTATCCATGCCCCACCCCACCCCCTAGGGCCGGTCAGGCCACCGAAGGCACCAAAGAGCCAGGAAAGCCGGGCGGCAGAGGCCCTCTCCCGCTCTCCACCTCGCTAAACGGGCCAGTCCCGCGCACTTGCCCCCTGAGCCGGTTCCATCGAGCCGCACGCCCTCGGGCAGAGCCCGGGCGACCTCGGGGAAGGCGTGGACCCCTCGCTAGACGCCCCCGGGCCCGACCGCCACCGCGCCGCCCTGGCACTGCCAGGCCACCGGGGCACCGGGAGGACAGAGCGGGCAGAGAGCGGACTCGGGAGGCGGGGGAGCCCGGGCCCGCGACGGTACTCACGGGGGGAACAGGCCAGGCGCGCGTCCCTCCAGGGCGGGCTCTGCATCACCCCGGGCCAGAAGATGGGCGTCCGGCCGGGCAGCTCGGCCAGGGGCTTGGGGTAGCGGCCCACGGCGGCCACGGCCGCGGCGCTGGGGCTGAAGTAGAGCCCGGGCGGCGGCGGCGGCGGGCTCAGGCTGCCGAAGCGGGGCAGGCCGGCCAGCAGCCCGG